TAGAGCAATAATTATGTATCTACCAGATACATGGTCCCAAGTAGAGTTGTTACAAAAATCGCACCTAAATTACACTAAACCAGCTAAACATTCAGAACATCAGTTTTTCTACCGCTCCGATAGAGCTGGCCAATCTCATTTCCGACACATTTCAATCATTTTCGGTTCGCTTCGCAAAAGGAACTAGGAACCTGAAAGAAGGGAAACTTTAAAGAGATTCTTTAAAGTATTTTTATCGGGAAAACACTAGGCTCCAATAGAAAGAGCGAAATTTCAAAAAAATATTTTAGAAAAACGATACACGGTCCAATCTACGGCGAATTAGGGCGCCGAGAAAAGGTGGACTCAGCAGCGATAATTTCTTCCATACAAAAACGATTCTTATCAATGCTTCCTGTAGGGCATTTCGAAAAAAAAATCTCCAACAAGAAAACCAAACTAAAGTCAATTTTTCATGAGTCTATTAGTGGCGGCACCACCCTTCAAATTATCACCCACCCTCTGGCAAAATACACAGTTATGTTTGAAATGAATATTGAAAATTTCATTATCCTTTGACGCTTACTTGTTGTTGTTCTTGTTACTGCTTTTCACTTTCCCTTCCGTTTCTCATTCGTCATTATTGTGACGGATGTTTATAAACGATTATTGTTGTGGCTGTTGTTGTTGCTGTTGTCTCCTTTGAGTGGCTTAAATCGGATTAAATGTTATGATAAATAAAAATAAAAGGATCAGCATTTTGGATGGCAAATTAACTTGACATTTAAACAGCAACAACAACGACGATGACGACAACAATAAAAGATGTTTTCTAATGAAATTAAAATCGGAGGAAAAAAGACAGATTAACTTCTATTTGAAGTAAACGGATAAATTTTAATTAAAAATTTTATTTTGTTTTCAAAATTAAGACAACAAATCTTTTGTGAGGCAATTTTAATTAAGTTATTCTTCTCCTTACTTATATTACTCCGCAGGCATGCATCGTAAATCCATAGATGCCCAGCACACGTTACGCGATGATTCCGGTGTAAGTGATCCCGAAGATCCAGAGGCAGATTCAGAAAGTAACACCAATAAAGCTCAGGACTCATTGATTAACTCCAAAGAATTAAGTTCTTCAACAGAATCGCTAAATGTTGTTAGTCCCGCACCACCAACAACCACATTACCATTGGCCTCAGGATCACCAGCTACCACCCCGACAGCTACCACAACATCTACACCTTCACCCCACATAGATCTCAATTCACCCACATCTTCACCCATACAGCAGCAGCTACATCAATATCACCACTACAGTGCCCCGCAGTTGGCCAACACCGGAAGAATGCCTCCTTTTGCGACTATGCATTCGACAAAGGATCCCAGTGTTGATAGCCGCATCTCAATGGCCCAATCATCACCTACCCAGACAACACCAGCACCCTCTTATCATCCCCTCTTGGATGCCGCAAATGCTAGTGCCTGTGCTGGTGCAGCCAGTACCAAAGATTTCCATATGATTATGAATACAGCTGTGGCAGCGGCAGCAGCTGCTGCAGCCAGTGATATCTATGGGACAAGTTTGGCGCAGGACCCCGATACTTTTAGGTAAGTTCGAAGAGTTTATTATAAAAAAAGATTCTACAAAAAGGTAATCAAATGCGAAACTTCCGCATAGGGGTTTAACTGTTTCCGATAAGATTCTGCAACTTACGTCTTTTCGTCGATTTATGCACTTGCGTCCGGGCTCTTATCGGATTAGTTTTTTTATTTGTACCTCCTTTGATTGTTTGTATGATACTACCGTCCGTATCGAGCGGACACAATTCTCAAGGGATATCGACAACAACTTCCTCAAATGGGCGGAACAACGTTTCAAGGCTTCGCAATCTTGAGTAAAATTCCGTACCTCGACAAACTGAGCCAAAAATCAACATATAGTTTGGCATTCGACTTGAATTCAATCGTTCGAGAGTTCTCCTGTTCCACGAAGCCACAACAGCTAATTCGGAGTTTAGCAGCTTAAGACGAGTCCATTTTCTATTTTATTTCTTCACCGTATAAGTAGAAGACCTAAGACCACAAAGGTGTATTTCGAAAGTCATTCGTTTTGAAAGAAGGTGTCTGGAAACACCGTTGCTTCCAGGAACAAAAAATTTATCAACGATCCGCACAGAGATTATAATATTTTCGAAAAGTTTCCGTGGAGCAGTAATTATGGATCAGCTTCATATAATCCTACTTATGCGGAACATAGACTCCAAAAAGAAATTTGGAGGATATCTTCTTGTTGGAAAGACTTCTGCCTACCTTCAATGGAGAGAGTTTTTAAACAGATATTCTGTGGAGCAATTTTTTGGAGCAGCTTTATAGAGTCCTATATACTGGGAAGACAGGCTCCAAGACAATATTTAGAGGATATCTTCTTGTCCGGAGAATGGGAGAGCTACGTTTCCAAACAGAATATTCAGATATAACAACAATTCCGAAGAGATTCCGTGGAGCAATAATTATAGAGCAGCTTTATCTAAGGAGAACTTAGGCTTCAAGAAGAAGTGTAGAGAATATCTTATTATGAGGAACCAATCAGACAATCTTTCAACTCCCTAGAAACCTATTTTCTAGATTACCTCGTATCAACCCAATTTCTTCAGGCCACCGAAATGGCTAATAGGACTCTTGAAATCGAGAATGCCGTGATAAAATCATTTGCCAAAAAACTAGCTAAAGAGTTTTCCAAATCTAAAATCCCTTTATCTAATTATGGGTTTTAGGCAAATTAGAGTCTCCACTTCGTAAGTACCCATGCTTCAGATCCGTATCTGAAGCATGGGTACTTTCGCAAGCAGTTGAGGCAGCTCTTGGTGTGTTTGATAGAAAAATTCTCCAAAAGATGTATGGACCTATCTGCGTTCACGATGAATATCGCCGTCGAATGAACCATAAGTTGCACCAGCTATTCTCGGACATCGACATTGTTAGCCGTATTGAGCTACAGCGACTACGTTGGCTAGGTTGTGAGAATAGATGGAGAACGCATATAAAAGCGAGCCAGCTGATGGTTCACGCAGAAGGGGAAGGCCAAGAATGCGTTGGAAAGATCAAGTCGAAGACAACATCGCCGAAAATGGTCTTTCAAATTGGAAAAACTGCGCAAAAGACCGACGCGCCTGGAAATCTTTTTAAGCTCGGTTTATGGAAAAATTTCCTAGGAGCCCGAAGTGAGCTACAAATCTCTCATTTATTTGGGCTCTATCTCAACTATCCCCTAAGTAGAGTTGTCGATGGGATTTTTTTCAGATACCAGATCTCTTAGCACACGTAAAATTAGAATAGAATACAGTTCCTAACGCAATGGAGTTTCAGGCTCAACTAGAGTCAAATAGGTCAACTAGAGTTCAATTCCCAAACTCGTCTAGAGCTAGAGTTCTTTACCTCATCTAAAGTTCCCTACCTCATTTAGAGTTCTCTGTACTCATGTAAGCTCAAGTAGAGTTCGTCAATTCCACTAAAGCTTGGTATATCATTTTTTTAGCTAAATCAGCCCGATTTAACAACTTAATTAGAGTTCGCCATCTCCATTAGACGTAAACAGTTGAGTAGGGTGTAGTATTTCATCAAGATTGCTCAAGCTCTACTAAAATAATGTAGCTCATCTAGAATTCTCCCTAGTTCATCTCAAGTACTGAAACTCAACTGCAGTTCCCAGCTCAAATATAGTCAGATAGGTCAACTAGAGTTGAATTCGCAAACTCGTCTAGAGTTCCCTAACTCATATAGATTTCCTACTTCGTTTAAAGTTACCTACCTCATCTAGTGTTTCCTACCTCATATACATTTCCTAGCTCATTTAGAGTTCCCTGACCTCATGCAGAGTTCGTCAACAGTTCCGTAGCTCATCTCGAGTACTCACAATCTCACCTAGAGTTTTCTACCTAATCTCGAGTTCCCTACCCCATATAAAGTTGCCTACCTTATATAGATTTACTTCCTCATTTAGAGTTCCCTACATCATGTAGAGTTCGTTAACTCCACCAGGCTTAAACAGTTTGTTAGCGTGGAAGTCGTGCTGCCTAGCGTTCACTAGTTCAACTAGAGTTCCCTACAACATCTAAAATTCGCAAGCTCAAGTAATGCTCATCAACTCCACAAAAGTTCGCCAGCTGATTGAGTATTGTTTTGAATACCTTTTTAGCCTCAGATCTGGTGATACACAACTCAATTCGAGTTCGCCAGCCCCTCAAGGCTTAAGTGATTGAGTGTTGTTTGAAATAGTTATTAACAGCTCACGTGAGATGCATAAGAGTATCTATCTTTGTTAGCTCCTGGAATTCACACGACCACAAAGAGTTCTTCTGTTCCGTTGGGTTTTATAGTTCAACGTCTTGAGTTACCTTTGTGCCCTTCTAATTCCCTAAACGTTCGAATTGTATTGAAATAAAATTGTTCACCAGCTCAACTAGAACTTTATAGAGTTCACTAGGCCCAGTTGAGTTCCCTGCCTTATATAGAGTTCGCAAGCTCAAGTAGAGCTCGTCAATACACATAAGCTTTGTAGATCATATTTTTTGCTAGATCCAATGTTCGCCAGCTGGTCTAAACGTGCACAGTTCACAAGATTTTTCAGCTCCACAAGGCTTAAGTGGTTGAGTATAGTTCGAAATAATTTAACCAGCTCATCATTGCACCTTTTTTTCGTAAAGATCGATTGTCCAGTAAATGTTTCTTCGGCACATTTCGGTTTCATAGTTTACCATCTTGAGGTCACATTCACATTTACCTGCTCTAATAGGATTCATTATTGTCCCTATATTTATTAACTCGTAGAATTCGCCTCTACACTAAAAGTCCTCATCCTCAGTTGGGTTTTGCAATCCACAATCTTGAGCATTGCTTCCGTTCTTATTTCCTCAAACGTTTCGATATATTGAAATAAAATTGCGCCTTCTTGCATGCTCTCATTCTTTATATTTAAATATTTGTTAAAAATTCGTTTCTACAATCCATCTCCAAACTTATGCCTCCTGATTTTCTGGACAAGGATTTGTCCAAGACCATTCATTCCATAGAACACATTCGCCTTTAGCCGAATCGAACAAATGGGCATCGGGACAACGTACCAATTTGGCGGCAGCACCAGCCGATTCACACTGCCAATAGGCGGTAGGATCCCAGAAATTGCGAACGGGTACATTCAAATTATCTTTGCTACAAACGGGCTCATTGTTGCTATCGGGATCACAGGCCAAGACAACAGCCAACAAGGCAAAGAAGGCAATCAAACAACTAACTGAAAACGAAGAAATACCGAGAATGAGATTGGTGGATCCTTTGTTTGAGACCATTTTCCGCAGGACTTACAATATTTCATGTTGCGCGTTTTGTTTTCACTTGTTATGGCGAACTACTGGCATTGCCGAAGTTCCTTTGCCTTATATATAGTGAAATCTATAACCCTGGTCGATATTTTTTGTTATCTCTAAGTTGTATTAGATGTTCATGTTTGAGTTGTCAGCCTTTGCTATTTATTGTTGTCTTGTAATTGCATTTCCACTCATTACACCAGTCTAACCAATGCCACTTATGATTGCAGTTGTTATCTGAACTATTCACTTCGATTGTTTCCCATCTAATAGTCGGAACAATGTAAAGTCTTATCGGAATAGTTTCACCGTGCACTTGTAAATTATGTAAAGTTGTTGCTAAATTAATAGAACAGAAATCGTCATTAAGTATCGAAGTGGGTCTTAAGGGATTGCCTGAAGGAGAAAGTTATTTGCGATGGTTCTTTTGGTCCACTAATTCTTCCCAAGTTAATTACAGTGTGAACTGAAGTGCTCAAGGTCATCTCCAATAGCAAAACTCATTAGTTCTCAAAGCGACCATTTTACACAAACCCATTAATAGTATATCCGGAATTTTTAAATCATCTAAAGTTCTTTTCATCGTCGGTAGAGTTTACTAAGCCAGTATACGAAATAATTCATCAGGATCTGCCTGAAAAAGAAAGGAATTTGCAATGATTCTTGGCTCCACTATTACCTATGTAATTCTTTACATGAACTAAGGTGCTCTAGATCACCTAGAAATGGGAGTGTAGTTTGCCAGATTTCAAAGAGATCTTAAGTTCCATAAATCGTCGAAAAGATTCCCTAGCTCAGCTAAATTATCTTGCATATATTTCGTTCATCTTGAGTTTGAAAGCTCTTATGATATTTTCTGGCTTATCATCTAATCTTCCCTACCTAATATAAGATTCTTCAAACCTATATAGGAGTTCCGTACTCATATAGAGTCCGTGAGCTCATCAATAGTTAGCTTAATCGACATAAGTTCGTTGCCGCATATAGAGATAGGTAGATCATATCTAATGTTGACAACCTCAACTTTAGTTTGCCAGTACATCTAGAGTTTTCTAGTTCATCTAAACTTCTCGGACTCAGCTGTCCGATTAGATGCTCTTAGGATGTACTAAGACGAGCAGTCTACGAATACATTTGGAGGATATTTGTACGAGACAATGGAGATGATCTATGAAGTATTGTATACCGTGTATACCGGCGTGGTGGATCTATGCGTCAGGTTGACCCACATTCCCTCCATTTCATTGATGAAATGAGGGAGCCTCTGCGTTTATAGAAGTTTTGGACAGCTTCTGTTGGGTTAGAAGTAGAAAATCGCCATCTGGAAGGTCATGTCGGAATATATCGAGTCCGGGTTTTCCAGCTGCATTTGTCAGGGTCCTTGGTATATTTGTGGATTTCAAAGGCGCATTTTACTTCCTTAGCTTTAGTTTGCCAGTACATCTAGAGTTTTCCAATTCATCTAAACTTCTCGGACTCAGCTGTCCGATTGGATACTCCTAGGATGTACAAAGACGAGCAGTCTACGAGTAAAGAATACAATTGGAGGAGATTTGTACGGGACAATGGAGATGATCTATGGAGTATTGTATACCGTTTATGCCGGCGTGGTGGGTCTATGCGTCAGGTTGACCCACATTCCCTCCATTTAATTGATAAAATGAGGGATGCTCTGGGTTTAGATCGTATAGAAGTTTAGGACAGCTTCTGTTGGGTTAGAAGTAGAAAATCGCCAGGTATGAAAATCGCCATCTGAAAGGTCATGTCGGAATATATCGAGTCCGTTGTTTTTCAGCTGCATTTGTCAGGGTTATTCCAAATATGTCCTTGGTATATTTGTGGATTTCAAAGGCGCATTTAACTTCCTATAATGGAATATCGTGCTCACAAGGTTATCAGAGATCGAGGGCAGGGAGATTCCTTTTTCGGCGAATTATTTCCGAGATAGGAAAGCTTGTGTCGTGGGAGGATGGTTGAACGCATATGGAAGATCATTGCGGAATATATCGAGTCCGTTTTCTCCAGCTGCATTTGTAAGGGTTACTTCCTGTGTGCCCGAGTTGTTGTACTGCTTAAGTCACCTGATCGAGTAAGGAGTGATCCGCTCCTGTATTGCGGCATAATTGTTCTATCAGTTCTTGGGACAGTGCCGGAGAGGATTATGGTGGCATAGCTTAGGAAATGCATGTTCCTGTATCAGTTCGGTTTTAATTAGGAGTCAAATTCCAAATATGTGTCTTTTGGCTTTTGTCGTGGGGTCCAATGCTTCGGTCTGGAGGGATGTGCAGCGAGCTAGGGGCTCACTCAAAACTACTCAGATATTCCATAACTAGCGTTCGCAAGCACATCTAGGGTTTGTTATCTCATCTGGAGTTCAATAACTCACCTTGAGTTCGGTAGTACAAAATGAAAAAATTCGCTGTTGCAAACATAAATTTACTGTGAAAAAATTCATTTCGGGGAGGGCCCGGGCCTCCCCCCTGCATACGTCCCTGTTGCACAGCTTAATTAAAATTCGCCAGGAGTATATGGCTGGGTATTGTTTGGAATCATTTTTACCTGATAAGCAGTGTTCCTAAATTTTTATATTACGAGATCACTAAAGGTTCTTCTAAGCTGTCCAAGCTTATCTTGAGCTCGTCAGTTCATTTAGAGTTTCCTATTTCACCTAGAGTTCAATAGCTGACTTAGGGTTCTATAATTCGCCAGAGTTCGTCAGCTCTTCTAAGATTCGCTATATCATCTAAAGTTCGGTAGCTGACTTATGGTTCTAGAATTCATATAAGATTCCCTAAATTGTCTTAAGTTTTCCAGCTCATCTAAAGTTTCTATAACTGTACAATTGGAGTTAGCAAGCTGTTCCGGATTTCACTAACTAATCTAGAGCTCAACAGTTTATTTAGAGTGTATTAGGTTGTCAGGTTCGCCAAGAATTTGTTATTTCTTCTAGAGTTCGCCTGCTTGACTGAAGATCGCTAGTTCATCTAGAGTTCGTCAGTTCATTTAGAGTTTTCTATATCATCTAGAGTTCGTTAGCTGACTTATAGTTCTATAACTCGCCAGATTTCGGCAGTTCTTTTAATATTCGCTATATCATCTAGAGTTCGGTAGCTTCTGCAGATTTTGCTAATTCACCAAGAGTTCGTTAGCTGACTTAGAGTTCTATAATTCATATACGATTCCCTCTATTGTCATGAGATCTAAAGTCCATCTAAAGTTTCCCAGCAGCTCTAGGAATAACCAGATCAGTTTGAATTTAAAAAACTCATTCCGATTTCGATAGCTATTAAATTTGAGTTCGCAGGCTGTTCAGGGATT